TGATGTTCTGTAAATATGATACCTGCAATATGGCATATCGCTATAAACAATATGTTGTATGGTATAGAATAACATTATATTTTACTGTAAGATAGACAGGGCTACAGAAATTTTAGTATGGAACAATATAGTTAGTACGACTCAAAACGTAATGTATGTTGTACTGCAGATGTAGCATACCGCAATAAGCGGCATTACGGTACAGCGACTTTAATGTTTCCACGATTTACAAACGTTATGGCTTCATGATAAATGTGCTTCTTCAGGTCATAGATGCATCTCATACATTGATCAAGCCACATTGTTCCCATCACAGATACTTGAAGAAGCGGAATAGTGTATTGTGTAGTTTTTCACAAGGCCAAAAGTGTTGATTCTTAGGTCGATGCGTGTCAGTAAATGCCCTGCAATATAACTGATATGGCATGACATGACGCATCATGCAGCGCACTGTTATGCTTTATTGTAATATTATGTACCATCTTATGCTATTAATATAACAGTAGCACGATGATGCACCATATTACAATATATTATTCTAGTATACTGACTGCACTGCTATACTTTGTTTCGTTCTTATTAGATGTAATAGACTGTACATGTGACGTAGCATGTTACATCACATTACGATACGATACTGTTTGGGATTACATGAAAATGTTCTGCATTGTTCCATACCCTAATAACATACCTTTGCTGTATTCTAAACTGTGCTCTGTAGTACTCTGTGATTTAGTATTATAGAATGACGCTATAAGTTCAGTGCTTCAGTTACATCATTCGAGCAGAGGAGAAAGATGTTTGCTTACAGATAGGGGTATTACTCGGCTGTACACTAATCAAGAGCAAGAATCACAGTAGCGCTATACTAATCAAAATCAGACATCATTCATGCCACTGATCGGATTGAAGGATGATTTTCGCGGGACATCCTATGTCATGATGTCCTAAGAGAGACTGAACTGATTTCGATAGTGTGTCATTATATTATATAATGTACTATAATTCACCGTGCCATATTACGCTGTTCTTGATTAGGCCACTTTTCGGTGTAAAACATTTCTTAAATTAGCATAGTGACGTATGGTATAATCCAGCATAGTTTTGTATATTATGGACTAATGTAATATGTCACTCTGTGGTAATATATGTATTACACTCTGTTAAATGGGGCGCTTAGTGTAATTTATCGATGCAATGTAGATAGTGCCTGCTTTATTTAGTATCGTATATTACGATATTTTTGACTGTTCTTTAATATGATTTGTTTATTGGTTCTTTAACAGCAATCACTTCATTTTATCAGGGAAATGGATATGGTTTCTAGCACGTTTATTTCTCTGACAGCTGATGCATATCTTTTGGTTCATGTATCTAACCTGCTTAATCCAGAGACTTGATCCCCCTATGCTCTACACGTCTTGTAGTTTGATCTTTTCCATAGCTGCTAAGCCCATTTCGTTGTTTTATACATCTCTTGTTATCCAGAATGTTTGCTACTGTTAAACGCGCAATGTTTCGTACTTTGAATTGGCATGGTAAAGGTTTCTTTAATGTTTTATAAAGGCTTCATAACTTTGGTGTCGTATTCTCTGTTGCTCCCTGGTATAGCGGGTTCATTTTAGCGTCAGATGTTGGAGGCAGTTCCGGTTGCGGAGGTGACGTACGAAATTAATCGTCGGATCGGCAAATTTTGGGTTCTTGGTCAGGAGCGTTTGGCATACGTTCCACAGTATCCAAAAAAGTGTTGTATTTTGTGACTTACCGCTAGCTGCTCATGGAAGGCATAGTGCCGCAGTAAGGACCTGCAGCCACCGACCAAGTGCTACACGGTACCAGTGGTCGATTGTTTGATATACACTCTAAACAGTGGTGGACAGAGATGCAACAACGTTTTGCACACCGTGACCTTCTGGGAACCTTTTCCTCAGTGACTGATATGTAACAGAAAAACACGTGCGCTGCGTCTGACCGCTTTGAATGGAATTCGCTAAATAATATAGACTAAGACTGCAAGCCTGTATTTTATTTAATGCGGTAATTGCTGTCTGTTGTTCCATGGAAGCTTGATATTTGTTTGAACGTACCGAATACTGTGATAGCGTGAGCCTTTGTTTTTCATTTTTTGGCAGTAAAATTATTTATTTTAGTTAATTAAATTTCAGTCTCATAATTTGAAAGAAAGATGCTTATCCTGGCGTATTTTTAATTTTTATGTTGAAGAGTGAATGTTAGTGTTTGGTATCTATTGTGAACTATTTCAACGTACATACACATGTTTTGTTAATGCCGGTTATTGTTTGACTGTATGTCACACTAATTTTGTCTTGTGCCTGTTGTAACTCATCGGTTGTGTGCTGCCAGTGGCATCTCAACAATAGTCCGCAGTTGCAAATGTTTTAATTTCAGACGTATCATCCAACCAAAGCTTATCGAGAAATAGAAAACGTAAGCATACTCATTGAAATGCTTGTTCCTGTGACTTTATTTCAGTTGCAGACGTTCTTGAAGATTTTTTAACCACAGGTTGAGAACGACTCCAAATTTGGTAGCGGTGATTGAGTATTTGAAAAGCAAGCTCATCAATGGACTAGAAAGACACCGTTCAACAAATTTGGGACATTGTGTTAGCATACGGAATATGCGTAACCGTGTGAACGACAGTTCACCACACATCACCAAATGAGTCGAATCTGTACCTTTTTGCTGAGACCGTCATGTGAACAGTTAAATATGCGAAACGTCTCTTGTTCGTGATATTTGCAGGATTAGGACACCGGTTACTGTGTCATGCAAATGGAAATTAGTCTCCGAATGCAGATCTTATTTACTGTGTTCCTCCATGTTTAATGCTGGTCTCCTGGTCGAGGTGTTTTTTTGCTCCCAGACGAGAAGCTCATGGATTTGTGTCAGTGAATTATGTTCAATTAGTTTGCTTGATCGGACAAAACTTAGCCATTAGTTGGGTCGCGGGTTCTAGGGGCTTCTCTACTTAGTCGAGGCACAGCATCTGTTATTTACATGTCAACACATATAAAGGCATAGCTGCGTGGTCTCATAAAAATATCCGCCAATTTGCAAACGAATTGAAACGATTTCGTAAGGAAATAGCTCACACTGAGATTTCGCTCGAATGCATGATTTAGGCAAATTGGCTCATCTAAAAACTTTTTTTTAATTGATGTTGAATGCTTTTGTTCTAAATTGCTGTGACCTTTCGTTACTGGACTACGTTAAATGTTTTACACGGTTGGTTTGTCTGTATTGATTGCGTTCACGTTGGAGATTTGAAAGTACTTATTAACGTATTTATGAAATGAGAAATACCCACCGTGATCTGAATTTAAAAACCAAGCGGTTTTGTATAGCAGTTTATTTGATAAAATATGTCAATACATACTGAGCATGGCATTTGTAGTAGCAGCGAACTGCCGGTTTTCGGTACCACCTGTGGAAATGACAATCTACCACTTCCAAATTTATGCGATGACATCGTCCCACCTTCTACTCGCCTTCCTCCATTTGTCTGCTGACATTTTAAACGCCCTAAAACTGCTACGTGGTATTATAGCACATATTTTGCATAGATACGAAACAATATCACCCAGCTGGAACGAACGTGGATTCAAACACACACACTGCGTCATGTCACAAATAACCATTTATAAATATAATATAAATATAAATGAGCATTTTGAGTTTACTATCACATTCTATGTAATAACAGAGTTAAAAATAACTTTCCTGCCAGTTTTCCAGATACAGTTCATGTCTTGTACTACCCCTTGCTTCTAGCAACTTAGAAGACCTTTCTTATTCACATTGGGCTGTCAATTCAGAACACCTGTTCACATGTGTTTGAATATCCTTTTCTTCGATCCACTAGAATGGGGTTGCCTTATATGCATTCTC